AGTATCATCTATGCTAATCCTGCTTAGCAATTTTATTCTATTGTTATTGTTATTGTCGTATGTTCAATCAAAGTAAAATGATACTTGATAAATTTTTCACGGCCTGATTCTTTACTGCAGGGGCGTCTAAACTTATTAATAAGAGGGCCACTTTAGTTGACCAGACAATTCGATTGACAAAGCTGAAGTTGTCTGCATGACTTTCTTACAGCTCCATTTGTGCCATTTTTAGAATTTAGTGACACAATCCAAAACAAATGTCAGTATGCACAATTAAAAGTCATTTAGGTCAACATGTTCTAAGCTTGACAGCGAGGTACAGCATGACTATTGGTGGAGCTGAAGTTATCGGGATGAAATTGTGTTGATCTCAATGGATACTTTTTGTTAGCGAGGCAGAGGGCTGCAATCGCTCAAAGGTCTCCCCAAATGATTCAGACAAATCAAACTCACAACAATGATAAATGCAAACTTACTTTGTGCTCCCGAAACAAATGTGTGATGATGAACAATGACTCAACATATTCACTAGTATTAACTAATTAAAGGAGCTCTCTACAATTTTTTTTGCGGGAAAGTGGCTCTGCAGGGAAAACGTTTGGGGACCCTTGCTTCAAATTAATCATTCACCAATCATTCGCTTAAGAAGACTTCCGCTTTGGTGGAACAAAGGTTGCAAGATTATTTTATTGACTTATGTATAATCAGTTATGAAATAGTATTTTATTTAAAAAAAGGCATCTACATTAAAGTTATTTTGGCAACTCCTTTTGCCTCCATGTGCTCGACAAAAACAGTTGCACATCACTTTTTTGTTCCAAACCCTGGGGTTGTATTCAGTGATGGTCAATTTACTTTGAATAGACCAAATCTGATACTAACTATTAATTGTTTCTTCTGAAAGTCATCAGTACTTTTTACAACAATTACATTGTTTCATAGAAAAGGAAACATAAATCAAGAAGTATTGTATAAAAAGCACATCTTTGCACTATATCTTATAACAGAGACAGAAGAGAGAAGACTGTCCCGCTGTCACAGTTTCAAAGTATTTGATATGCATTTGGCTGTGGAAGTGTAATCAAAGGGGAAAGCTCTGAGTGTGGGTCAGCCGTATTTTGTAATTGGCCGACGCACACTGCTTCTGTGTGGACTACTCTAAAATGCACATAAAAAAAAGAAACAAAAATCACAACAATGATGACGTGAAAACTATGTGTCAAACTTAAAGTACTGAGTCCCATCCATCCATCCATCCATTTTCTTCCGCTTTATCCGTTGCCGGGTCGCGGGGGCAGCAGTCTAAGCAGAGACGCCCAGACTTCCCTATCCACACACACTTCCTCCAGCTCGTCCGGGGGGACCCCAAGGCGTTCCCAGGCCAGCTGAGAGACATAGTCCCTCCAGCGTGTCCTGGGTCTTCCGCGGGGCCTCCTCCCGGTGGGACGTGCCCGGAACACCTCCCCAGGGAGGCGTCCAGGAGGCATCCGGAACAGATGCCCGAGCCACCTCAACTGGTTCCTCTCGACGTGGAGAAGCAGCGGTTCTACTCCGAGCTCCTCCCGTGTGACTGAGCTCCTCACCCTATCTCTAAGGGAGCGCCCAGCCACTCTGCGGAGGAAGCTCATTTCGACCGCTTGTATCCGCGATCTCGTTCTTTCGGTCATTACCCAAAGCTCATGACCATAGGTGAGGGAGGGAACGAAGATTGACCGGTAAATCGAGAGCTTTGCCTTTCGGCTCAGCTCCCTCCACCACAACGGTCCGATACAGCGACCGCATAACTGCGCACGCTGCACCGATCCGCCTGTCAATCTCACGCTCCATTCTTCCCTCACTCGTGAACAAGACCCCGAGATACTTGAACTCCTCCACTTGAGGAAGGACCTCTCCACCCACCTGCAGAGGGCAAGGCACCTTTTTCCGGTCGAGCACCATGGCCTCGGATTTGGAGGTGCTGATTCTCATCCCAGCCGCTTCACACTCGGCTGCAAACCGTCCCAGTGCATGCTGCAGGTCCTGGTTCGTTGGAGCCAACAGGACAACATCGTCCGCAAACAGCAGAGATGAAATCCTGTGGTCTCCGAACCGGACCCCCTCCGACCCCTGAGTACTGAGTCCCCCTATAATTAAATATATAATCAAAATAAATTCAAATGTGCTGGGGTGAAAAAACTAAGTTGCATTAAATCAAAAAAATTTGTTATGAAATAATGAGCATGTTCTTAAAAATTCAAAATGGCTCCAATTCTGAGAAACATGACTTTATCAAAGATCTTATAAGCCTGTTTTTACTCTTGCACTGAAGGATTCAGAGTGCATTCTTATATTAGGGGCGACAGTGGCTCAGTAGATACAGCACTGTTGTCTGCTGCCGTTGTGTCCCTGGGCAAGACACTTAACCCCACTTTGCCTGTGTGACTCTGAAAATTAGAATATCATTCATAAGTCTATTTACTTACTTGTAATTCAACTTACACATTTTAAATTCGAATATGACAGAATCATTACAAGCAAAACTTTAAAACAACATTCATCTGTTTTCAAGATTCACTGTACAATATTGCAATAACAAGAAAGCAGTATGTAATCTACGTCAGTGCATTCTTGGCTATTTGACTAATCACGAGACACTAAAATTGTGATTTTGATTGCGAGCAGGACCAATTTCCCATTAAAAATATAGGTTCTTTGGTTTTGAATTTCATTCTACAGCAATTCTCATCCTCCTGAAGCCCATTCATAGAAGGACAACCACTCCTCCAAGGCCATTATTAATTATTTCCAAAATTAGATTGTTTAGTGCATTATTATTGTATTATTATTGTCAGATCCACATTACATGCAGTGAAATTCTCATGTCTCCTTGCATGACTAAACTTGCGCTCTTTGAAGTCATTTCAAACTTGAACTAGTTTGTTTGTTTCTGGCGATCACAGTTAGTTGGAGCTTGTCGAGTAGAGAAAGCTGGAGGCGACGTGATGACTCAGAGGAGGGGCAGCGGGGCAAAGGAGATCAACACCAAAACACGACTCCAGCGGATTGACCTACAAACGTGACGGGGTTACACACCACTGCAGCCGCACACGCTACATGCATCCGGGGGAGGAGCTCGGGGCATTGTTCCTAGAGGTGGTCTGACCCCACACCCTGCAGTTTAGACCTCATTATTGGCTGGCAGTTGCTACGGAAACCATCACGAGCAACCGCCTCATTCACAAAACCAACACAAGGTAGTGAAGCTGACAGGACCACGGGCTGTTCTAAAGCTGGTGCACAACAACAATGTGGTGTTGAACAGCATAATTTCATTCATTTACTATTTATTTGATATGTGGACTGTTACTTTTGCACTGTGCATTTGGGCTGAATACTACATAGTGCTCCAAACCATTTTCAAATCAGTCTAATGTTCTGGGTGTATTTATGTAAAAAACAGATTTTTTTATAATATATATATATATATATATCTGTAATTCAACTTAACCTGTGACACTAACATATGACATAAGACACGTTTCCACCAGCCCCACTTGGTCCTACTCTACTCGGTTGTGTTTCCATTTTTCTTTAGTATCTGGTACCAATGCTAGCACATACTCACAACAAATTAGTGTCCATTCATGGTTAACCATGGCTCCCAGTATCACTGCGGCCAATCACTGTTAGTTAGAACACTTTAGTCATAACACTTTAGTTCCTGCTTGACCCTGGTTAGGACCAAGGTCAAGCAGGTACCAAAAAGTACCTTGTATCGGGGCAGTCTAAGGGGTAGAGCAGAGCAAAGTATGGCAGGTGTAAACAAAACAGGGCTAAATACTCAGTATAAGGAAAGTAACATGACAAGCTTTTGTTTGCTATAATGAGAATTATTATGGCTTACATTCCATTTCAAAATATTCAAATCTTCTGAGATGTTTTATTCAGTTTGTTTGCCATTTGCAGAAAAATCTCATTGGTTTTTAACGCAAAAACATTTATAGTCAAAATATTACTTTTACCATGTACATTACTTTTACCATGTACAATTTCAGTAGGAACAAGCAATGTGATGTTAGCTTAGCAATATATGGAAAACAAACTTCTGGATTATTTAGAACATGGTGTTGTGCAGTGTTCCCCAATATATTTTTTCATTGTTTACAGTACAAAGTTATTCTCATCAAGGTGTATTACATAGAATTCTTCTCACATTATCTTGACCAATCAACATAAGCACCAAACCAGGTGATAATGAATCATTTAAGGATCACCAAACATGGACCACTGGTTGAAAAACACTAATGCAGTGAACATGAGCACTGTTTGTTATTCAACAAACTATAGTCAAAACACTGATTTTGTAAACTGTTCTTCCAAGTTTGAAGGGATTTTGAAGGAATGTATTTGATGTGTTTTTGAGAGCCCAAACTACTATAGGGTCCATATACCTTTCCGTAACTATTTAGACAAAAACTCAATAAAAGTCAAATAAAACAGATAAGTTAATGAAACACATATATGAAACGAGTTAAATCACTTGTGCAACATTCAAATGTAGTGTTAAATACATTACTTTGTGCATGAATACAATTACATTTACGAATACAACCACAGCACAGTTTGAATACATAATTTTTTCTGTCTTGAATTGTTCAAAACAGCATTCCTTTTGAAGACGGTCTACCGCCATCTGGTGGTCAAATTCAGTCCGTGCAAGTCAATCCCAAAAAAAGTACTAAAAAGTAAGAACTTCCTTGATCAAATCTGTTTATTATAGCAATGTTTTTTGGTTACAAAGTGCAACGAGACAATAACAATTTGTTTAAAAATAACAACAACATAATGACTTCAGTGGCAAAATATTAGTAGACCAAAGCTGCTTGTATATCTGTCACAGGTAAAATGTTAGCTACCCTTGAAATGTGATGGAGGAGATATGCAGCCTGTCATTCACAAGTGTGATTCAGGAGACTTCCACACGTAGAAGCACTTCAGGCACGGCACTTTTTGCTTCCTATTCATGCATCGTCACCTCCACAGAGCATCAGCAAGGCCTTACGATAGTCCCCACTGGTGTCACCCTGTAAGACGAGTAGATGTTACACCATAAGGAAGCCAAAGATGATTGAAAAGAGCCAATATAGGCCTATTCTTGTTTTAGATAATTAATTGAATTGTTTGTGTACTTTTTGTATAATTTATATACTGTATATATTTTTAATTCATAGATACTTTCATCATGTTTTATTTAGATTTTTATAGGTTTGATTATTATTATTAAATGTGAATGAATGAATGTGGAGGACTTTAGAACCTCTGGGAACACCAGTTGCTACAGTGGGGCATGTGTCAATGTGCAGTGTTAGTTTATCACCACCGTGTATGGAGTGAAGGAATAATGCCGTGGGGAGCGTCTTTGAGGGTAAAAAAAAGTGCCATATAAAACCAATGCTTTATTTTACAAAAAAAGTTCTACATAAATAAAGTTGATTGTATTCATAATATAGTTGTGCTTTAAAGTTTACACACCCAGCCTATCAGACCGGCTCTTATTTTAAGAAACATTTTAATTAGTATAGTTTTTTAAGATGCACTAGTTTTTTTGTAATTTGTTTTCATGCCTTTTTTTTAATCTCTGCGACCTGCCTTGGGACTAGTTTTGCTACAATCTAGCACATTTCATACTTGTTGTTCTTTAATGCGTGTTGTAATGTGAAAAATGGCCAAAACTATTCAATCTATGGCCAGGTGTGTAAACTTTCGTGCACAAGTGTATTTGTTGTATGTGTTTACCTTAATCATGGAGTGCAGCGAGCAGGCAAACATCCTCCTGAAGTCCTTTCTAATGTCCAACATGTCCACCTCACTGCGGGTCACCATCACTCTCATTAGAGTGGCGTCATCTGTGCCTGCGCCCTGGCACAAAGGTTATCATTAACACGTTATGACCCGCCGTTTCAACATTGGTGTCTTTGAGTGTTCAAAAGGGGATATATTAAACCATTATCATGATCAATGTCGGCCAGGGGTGACCACACTATGGCCAGGAGGCAGAATGGGGCCCTCAAACCAATTTTACTTGCTCCTGACACTTCCTTGTTGCACCACATTGAGACTGAGAAGTTTATACGAGAATAAAAACAAAAAACTTATATTTGTGTTTAAGGTTGCTGAAGGTATAATTCTGAATATACTGCAGGTGTGATAGATCTTAAGGTTTATGTTTTAAAAGTGATTTAAATGTGTTAATTTGTTTATAATATAGTAATAACATATTTATTTGTATAATTAAGCAAATGTTTTTCAAGTTCTTTTTGGAAATATACAGTATCATTAGCATTATTTTTCTCTATGTTAACATAGAACATTTATGTTACTGTCTCTTTAAAAGAGATTTGCCTGCATTTGGCCCATAGACCATATAATAGTGGAGTGCTTACGTCGCAATAGTGAACGTTGCATAATATAATGTTGCTGTGCATAACCAGGTTTTAAGTCCAAAATGGTGAGTGTGACACAAACGGCTACTGAGCAAAAGGAGTTTACTTATCACTGTATGTCAACAAGAGCCAGAGCGAGTTGGAGCAGAACTTGAGCACTTCCCTTTTGGGATTTATTGAGTACAGTAACTAATATTTCCCGCACAAGTTTTTTGCAAGTCCAGTGGAAGTTTTTTCTCTTTCTCAAACCAACATGAGTAAACCAGAAATACTCCTACCTTCATAGCATGGTACAGGGTTTCAGCAAAATAAGCTGGGACACTCCTGGCACACTTCACTTTACAGAGAAAGAGAAACAATGTCAGACTATAAAGTTCACTTCTGCATTCACACACATCAGAACTAAATCTCCTCTCTTACCCACAGCCAGAATCAGAGCTTGGAGGTTCCCCGACGTCTCCCTCTGGATGCTCTCCTCCATCTCAAAGCCAGACATCTTCATGTAAGCATCAAACACTGTTGAAGAGTTTATTCAAAGGTCAATGTGCCGTAAATAGACAGGAGATATGACTAGAACTTATTTTCTATCACCTTTCCTCAGGTGTTCTGCACTGCGATTGCCCAAGATTGTCACGAACGATTGCTCGTCTGTGCCATACTTCTCCTCCCCGGCCTTGAACAGAGCCTAAACACATGAAGGAATTTTGCTTTGATTAATACAATGTTGTAATATCACAGGTGGCAAGTAACTTGGTGATTATTGGCACTTTCTTCTACTTAAATGATTAATTACTTTGTACATTAGTAAGAAATACTGTTTAGAAGTGGTTTGTGAAATACATACATCTACTTTACATGTTTTTGCTGTGTCAAATTCTCGGCCAGGGTGGCAGTATGATGTTGATTCAGTGTTTTTCAAAGGCAAAATGTCAAATGTTTCAAAAACATAAATTGTCCATCATAACTTTTCTTTCTCAAAAATACTCCATGTTCTGAACATGTCAGACGTCGTCGTATTAGAAAACATGTCACACTTAAGTCCCAGTATTCAGTATTTGACACTTTGGGCAGAGCTCATTGGCTGACTGAGGGTGGTGCGCTAATTTTCATTTTTTTGTTCGCAAAAGCTGATCTAAAGATGTGACAAAATGCATGCGCGCGAGCAAGGAACTAGTTTTATGGTATTTATGACAAGGAATTGTAGTGGTCTGAAAGTGCATACAAAAGCTTATTACTTTTGTCATGTTAAGAGAATGATTTGTGTCTAATTTTTTTTTTTTAATGGCATTCACCAGGTACATTATTCAACTATTGAATAACAAAAACATATATATTTGTGTCTTTGACCTGGTAGTGAGCAGCATGGTAATTATAATGCCTTTACTTTTTGATACTTTAAAGTGTTCCAGGATAAATTGTTTTTTAGGTTTTTCTGATGCCTCAGCAGAGAAAACCTTCCAAACAATCGATACTACACCATCATGCAGACCATTTGCATGTGGTGATACAATAACTGAGTCACCACATGGTAAAAATTCAAAAATATCTATTGTCACATGTAAAGTTGCATTATGCACCAGACCAGAACATTTACCACCTCTGCTAAATACACACCACTAGAGGGAGTAACATAACACCAATTATTTCCCTCTTACCAGCAAATGCATGTGACAGTCACACTCAATACAATACAATACAATTTATTCTTGTATAGCCCTAGGTCACAACAGAAGTCATCTCAGAGGACTTAACAAAGCCATTGAAATCACCAACACAGGTCAGAGAATCAACAGTTAAAACACATGAAGAATATAAAGCACACACAGAAGAAAATGTCCATACATGTTGTAGAATGCTAAAGTGTCCTGATCATCACCAATCCTTTCTGTTGGACACTAACTGTCCAACAGACCCTCCTGCATTGACAAGGAAAAACGCCTAAAAAACCCAGTGGGAAAAAGTGAGAAACCTTGGGGAGAACTAGGGAAACCCACAGGGAGGGAGACCCATTTGAGAAAGGGATCCGCTCCTCCGGACGGACAGGCTAATGATCTAGGACCTAAGCTAGCTACTCAAGCTAACAAGGGCTGCATTCATACAAATAAAAGATGAAACGATGACACAAACCTGAGCATCGCCCTCAACGTTCCCCTCCTGGACACCACTCTGCCTGTTCCCCTGAGAACACACAAACACAATCAGTGGGCATTGCAAAAATATAATACAGTCCATATTAGCTGTGATGTTACCTGCAGCAGGATGACCAGAAGTCTCTTGAAATGTCCTGAAGTGTCTCCGCACACGTCCTCCTCCAAGTTGTCGTCGTACTCTGTTGGAAATTACATGATCCATTGAATTAGAAAAAATAATACAAGTCTTGTGCAACAAAGCATTGGCTCAGAAGTGCAGCCGCTGTGGTCAGTGTTGAAATCCAAATCTTGTTGGCGAACTGAATGACTCCAATTGCAGATAATGAATCATTTAAATGGCAAAAGGACTGTCGTGTGATTTAACTTTTGAATTTGGCTTCTGAGAGTCTTCCCCAGTCCCAGCTTTGTGTTCCGATTCTTAAGATAAAGTAAAATTAATGTTAACCTGAGATTTTTGGGATATGACTTTAGCTTTGCATGTATAGACACTGAACATTTTGCCTATTCCTATTTACAAAACAACAGAAGCTTTGTCAGATTAGATGGAGAGTTTGTGAACAACAGTTGTCTCAGATTTTCACATGGATTTACTCTCTGCCTGTAATGCCCTAGACTACCACCAGAGGGAAAGGCTGTATTTCTTTTTGGTTTTTCTCACATTTGATATTTATCGGCTGCAAACACACACACATGATTGTAAAGTCAATTGTAAAACTCTTTAAAAAAAACATATTTACAAGCACTACTTTGTATCAAAAGGCATAAAACTGCTCTGAGCATGATGTCATAGTGGTATAATGTCATCACACTATTACAGGACTGAGACTAGAGGTTTTAGCCACAGAAAGTTTGTGATAGTAGCGTGGATGGATCTGAAATCTACCCCAGGTCTGTGACTGATGAAGAACAACTTTGTAACAGCTTGAAAGTTGATTTTCAATACGTGCGTGTCCTTTTTAGTACCCTGTCTGTATGCAGCCACAATTTCCTTCACTTGCTGGCATGATCTGGAAGCCAAGATCTCAATCAGCACTTTCTCATCTGTCCCAGCGCCCTAAAGACACACACACTCATTTCATTACATCTACATAGTGCTTATTAAAGTAAATCAAACTAACGTCACATTTGGAAACCTAGCATTTCACCTTGATAGCGTTGCGGAGGGACGTGACATCATAGGCAAGGGGCGGGGTCATTAAAGCCACGATAAGGCTTTCGAATTTACCCCCAAGCTCTCCTTTCAGGTCATCTATTAGGTCCTAAACACAAGCAGTCAATCCAACAGACTTAATACAGATTTGTCAAGTGTCAAAAATCAGATATTAATAAATACTATAATTAGTATAAAATCTAGATTTTGTTTGCACATTGTTACACATTGGGTTGTACTTTGTAAACACATTTTAGTAGCAGAGATAAACAAGGAAGTGCAGGGTAAAACATAGGATTGGTTTTGATGTGATTAGGGTGGTTGTCAGAGTCAGAGTTTATCCAAATAGATTGGGTTTACCAGAGTCAATCACAAGTCAACAGTGCTTTGTTTTGCTCCATCAACTGTTGTGTTACATTACAACATGAAAACCTGTGGCTTTTATAGGAGTGCAGCCTGTATGTGGACAAAACACTTTCTCTTCAAATGTAGCTGATGCGGTTTACAATTAAGCTCAATAGTTCCAGGAAGTACTGCATTCAATTAAAATGTTACAGTCCTATTCATTAGAATTGAAATTGAGTTTGAAACGTATTGTGACAAGACTAATACAGAAAATGTATGTTTGCGGTGATGTGATGTAATTCCAGGTCAGACCTTTCCAAAGAGGGTCTTGTAGGTGTTCTTGATCTCCTGCCTCTGGGCGTTGCTGCGGGCGGTGAGCAGCTGCAAGATGGCATCCTCATCGGTCCCTATGGCGACACAGGGTTTGCGGTCACAACAGGTGATGATTAAACTACAGCAAACAGCAGCAGGAAGTACGGGGCGTGAGACTAACACGAAGGCGAGATATGAACAAGAACAGCGCATTCTAGTGGCGCAAATAATGCTGAAATTGTACCGTTTATTGTTTATAATAAAGAATATATTCATTAGAGCCAGTGATAAAAGTCAAAACCAAACTACTTCATTTAAAATAGGTCTTACTTCTACAAAAACCAGGATAAAGAGAATCAAACAGATCACTACATGGGTAAAAAAGTCAAACATAAACTGAAAAAGTCAATGCTTATTGACTCACATTGTCCATTAGAGACTACTGCATCAGTGAATGTTATCAGCTTGAGTGTAATAACTAGTTGTATAAGTTAATGAGTCCTTGTTGACATTGATGATTACAGCCTTGCTCTGTTTGTTCGTGTGTGGGCGTGTGCGTGTGTGTGTGTGTAATAACTTAAACTCTAGGCAAATGGCTAAACTACTGTCTGGGTGGGGCTCCAACAGGACTTACTATAGCCATTGTTTATAGAATATCCAATGAAGTGGCGTGTTATTGGCTGGCTCCAGCTTTAAACCCATGACTGACCTTCCTATCCAGCTCCTGTTACAGCGTATAGAAGCATCCTCTTACCGAGTCCTTTCATTGCCTTGTGCAGGACTTCTGCGTCCGCACTGGCGTTGAAGTTGGGGCTGGGTTTGACGGTTCCTCTGTTGGCCTGCCACACAAAAGCATATGTTGAATATTTAAAATGGAGTGATAAAATTCAAACATGTGCTCAATTTAATGTTCGTGAGCAACACCTGTTTGCTATTCCTATGCAACAACTCAACGGAAAATAAAAAGCTGCTTGAATATATCCAGATGTTGTTTGTCAGCTATTTGCACCGAGACATAGATGTTGTTCGTGATAGTGCGCAAATACAGGAAGCTTTTCGATAATTAATTAGTATTTTATAGTTTCAGTCCGAGTACAGAATTAATAAAGGAAAAGAACAATTGTAAAGAATAATACAATTAGAAAACGTTTTAATATTATGACAGACATAGTAAATTGAATAACATGTAATCAAGTATAGTATAATATATAGTATAGTATAAGAGAATTTGCTGCTCCGGGTCTGCCATCCCAGAACACATCAAACTCCATAGTGTAACCCGAATATGGCACAGATATTGAATGTTTTAAGCGTTGTACAGTTGATGTTTCATTATGAAATTTGTCATTAATGATTATGAAGCTGTGGGATTAATGTCTTAAGACCGTACTGCTCACAACATCCATCCATCTTCTTCCCCTTGATCCATTTCTGGGTTGGGGAGGTGGTAATTCAGAGAGCACCGCACTAATCCTCTTGCAGCATTTCCTCCAGTCTCTACATCATCTCACCTCACTACTCACTGCTAAAATATTCAACAATAAAGATACATATATTCGTAGTGTTAATGGCCTCTCCGCAGATCGAACTTGGCCTGGAGCGCTACACTCTGCCAAGCAATAGCATCAGATTCCATTAATTACCTTAATGGGAACATAAAAGGGGGAAAATAATATTTATTCATATTCAAACAAATCTTTCTTGACAACCCTCTCTGTCCAACACTGCAGTGTGTATGACCAACATCGCCTCACGCTTATTCATTACAAGACAAGCTCGCAAGGTGAACAAAATCAATGCAGTGTGCAAACAGCTGGACAATGGGAGGCTATGAATGGACTTAAAAACAACACAATTCCGAGCATTGCAGTGAGAATGGCTCATCTATGGGGTGAGTGTGACTGAGGCGAGTCATGACATGAGAGGAGGCTGGGGTCGGCTGATGCTGGTATGCTCGGTTCCCACGACCACGAGCTAACACTGTTATCACACTTATTTAATAAATCCATGCTATAAATATATACATGTTTTTCTTAGTGATAAAAGGCACCAGTAAATTCTATATGTATATTTCCAATGCAGCTTGATCAATGTTTGCGTGTCAGCGCGCAACCAGATAACCATCCAATCTTGTGCTGTCACATTTGATATGATTTCCATGATTACCTTGTTTATTTGCATAGTTATTTAGTTGCAGATTGCACACAAAATGTTTATGAATTATGCCTTTGTGAACTGTTAGAGTATATACATGGTATTGCAACCCTCAAATAGGCCTGTCACAATTACACTTGAAATAGAGGTTCTAAATCTCAATGGGACTTTACTGGTTAAACAAAGGTTAATCAAAACAAATTTTTGCACTATTCCATATGCTCAATTAACATTTCATTAAAACGCAGTGAAAATTAAGGGTAACATAGAATAAAAAGTTCTGGACTATCAGGCAAACCCGTATAGATCATTTTAAAAGAAGGTACATTTTGTCCACAAATGAACTAGAATAAAGAAGCGGCTTATTGTCCGGCAACTATAGCAAGTCATATTAGGCCAAACATTATTGGGACAAATTTAGATAATGTTGATATTTTTTTTCGGCTCCTGTGGACTCACCACCTGCAGGAGGATCAGTGAGGGGCTGGTGCTCTGTGTACTGGGTGCAGCTCTGACTGCCACCCCCCTGACCCAGAAATGGATTAAGGGGAAGAAAATGGATGGATGGATATTTTTTCAAAATATTTTTACCATATGAGTGGATTTAAAGGAAGTAAAATGGAACTAGTGATATTTTTCTCACTCAAGTCTTGTGTCTTATTGCTTATTGCCCCTCAAGATTAATCATAATTTTCCCTTCCCCTTACTTTACAATCACATGGGGTTTTTTAAAACAACAACATTTTAATAAAATCCATGTGACTGGTTCTGTTTTGAGACTAAGCTAGTATTTACATGCATGTATTTATGGCCTCTGTCACAGCTTTAGATCAGCTTTTTCAAATAGAAAAGTGAAAAAGAGAGGACCACCATCCTTCAGCCAGTCAGGTTTCAGCTCAATACGTCAAAAGTGTAAGGCAAAAGAGGACACGTTTTCTAATGATATGAAGACACATGTTGTGGTATGTTTCGTTCACTTTACTCTTTCTGATCAGAGTGATGCATAACCCAACAGAAACAATTCTTAGAGGATAAACTATATACAGTGCCTTGCGAAAGTATTCGGCCCCCTTGAACCTTTCAACATTTCGCCATATTTCAGGCTTCAAAACATAGATATAACAGATATAACATTTTAATTTTTTGTCATGAATCAACGACGAGTGGGACACAATCGTGAAGTGGAATGAAATTTGTTGGATAATTTAAACTTTATTAACAAATAAAAAACTGAAAAGTGGGGCGTGCAATATTATTCGGCCCCTTTACTTTCAGTGCAGCAAACTCACTCCAGAAGTTCAGTGAGGATCTTTGAATGATCCAATGTTGTCCTAAATGACTGATGATGATAAATAGAATGCACCTGTGTGTAATCAAGTCTCCGTATAAATGCACCTGCTCTTTGATAGTCTCAGGGTTCTGTTTAAAGCGGAGAGAGAACCATGAAGACAAAGGAACACACCAGGCAGGTCCGAGATACTGTTGTGGAGAAGTTTAAAGCCGGATTTGGATACAAAAAGATTTCCCAAGCTTTAAACATCTCAAGGAGCACTGTGCAAGCAATTATATTGAAATGGAAGGAGTATCAGACCACTGCAAATCTACCAAGACCCGGCCGTCCCTCCAAACTTTCATCTCAAACAAGGAGAAGACTGATCAGAGATGCAGCCAAGAGGGCCATGATCACTCTGGATGAACTGCAGATAACTACAGCTGAGGTGGGGATGGTGTGTTCAGGGTGATGAGCTGTGTTGCTTTTACGCCAAACATATCGTTTTGCATTGTGGCCAAAAAGTTCGATTTTGGTTTCCTTCTGACCAGAGCACCTTCTTCCACATGTTTCGTGTGTCTCCCAGGTGGCTTGTGGCAAACTTTAAGAGACTTTTATTGGATATCTTTGAGAAATGGCCACTCTTCCATAAAGGCCAGATTTGTGCAGTGCACGACTGATTGTTGTCCTATGGACAGACTCTCCCACCTCAGCTGTAGTTATCTGCAGTTCATCCAGAGCGATCATGGGCCTCTTGGCTGCATCTCTGATCAGTCTTCTCCTTGTTTGAGATGAAAGTTTGGAGGGACGGCCGGGTCTTGGTAGATTTGCAGTGGTCTGATACTCCTTCCATTTCAATATAATTGCTTGCACAGTGCTCCTTGAGATGTTTAAAGCTTGGGAAATCTTTTTGTATCCAAATCCGGCTTTAAACTTCTCCACAACAGTATCTCGGACCTGCTTGGTGTGTTCCTTTGTCTTCATGGTTCTCTCTGCGCTTTAAACAGAACCCTGAGACTATCAAAGAGCAGGTGCATTTATACGGAGACTTGATTACACACGGATGCATTCTATTTATCATCATCAGTCATTTAGGACAACATTGGATCATTCAAAGATCCTTACTGAACTTCTGGAGTGAGTTTGCTGCACTGAAAGTAAAGGGGCCAAATAATATTGCACGCCCCACTTTTCAGTTTTTTATTTGTTAAAAAAGTTTAAATTATCCAATAAGTTTAGTTCCACTTCACGATTGTGTCCCACTTGTTGTTGATTCATGACAACAAATTTAAATTTTATATCTTTATGTTTGAAGACTGAAATGTGGCAAAATGTTGAAAGGTTCAAGGGGGCCGAATACTTTCGCAAGGCACTGTACCAATCACATGTGTTTGTGTAAGTTAGTAACTGGCTGGAAAGTAGAACACATATCTTGGGCACGCTGTTGTAGTGTGGTGATTCCCCTTTAAGAGCGAGAGAGAGAGGCTGGCTCCAGTGGAAATATGTGGATAAACCAAACTCAGACAGAGACCCACCCGAATGGACTGAAGCCCATGCACACAATGACTCATACACAAAACCTCCAACTTCCCCAAATCAACTATTCTTCCCTCCACTGGAAAAAATAGTCCATCTCTGAACTCAATTCAAGTCAATAACATAGCATGAGTCTGTTTAGAGTTTCAACCGTCTGTTCAGTTCAATATCTAAACTAATATTAAATCTAAAACTATATATTAGGTCAAATAAAAAGTCTCGCTGTTTTGGCAACGCAGAGGAAACAGCTGTAACTTGCTTCAAAAGATAGTTTCACAATATTCCACAAGTTGCCGGAAGTGGTATCAATCCACCATGTCATAAAATAAGTCACGACTGAATTTATAGTAAAATGAAAAAGAATTACATAACATTTAGTGGGCGTTGTCTGTGAGTACAGTGGATAAACCCATAATGAGTCAGAGCTTATTAGCATATATAACGGGTACTTACTTCAGTGCATCCTCAAACTTAGAAATGAAGTTATCATTTATTTCCTAATGTACTTACCATGTTTAATTCTTGAGTCAGAAGAAGCACAGTGGACGAGAATGAGTCTGGAGCAGAAAACAAGTTTCACTAAAGAGCTGTAGTCAAATAACACAGACAGCGCTGAGGCAAACAGTACAGGAAACATCTTTAGAAAAAAGGACACATGTCAAAGTGCAGTTTCGTACGCCAAATAAAGCATGATATACCTGCACTCTGGCTTACCTCCGGATGATGACGAGAGAGTGAAAAGTGGCCTGGAGTTGAAGATTTGGTGAAAAGTGCTTCGGAGTTGAGGTAGAGAACACCGGTGCCACTGAGCCCAGTTTGGAGAGAAGAGAAGAGAGAGGAGGGCATTCACGCACTGGACACATAGCCAGCTGGGCGCGCGTCCGTGCGTGTGCGCGCGAGCCACACCCCGGTGCACGAGGACTCACAAGTACTCTGGGAAGTGTAGTCCAGAGAGTTTTAAAGTTTTTAACATGACGCAGGTTGACCACAGGGAGGCGTTGTTTGCTCTTGGAAAGTCTCTTCCACAGACGTCCGCATCATGTGATAGGTTAAAAACAGTTGTGTTTTTACTTGTGCATGAGACTGAAGAGCTAAACTTTCACTGTTTTTAATGTACTGTGATTTTAATGCCTTGTACAATTTTAATATTGCTTTTGTTAAGCACTTTGAGTTGCTTTGTGTATGAACTGAGATGTACAATAAACTTGCGATAAGCTACTTATTCTCTATTTTATAAAATACAACGCCAACCAGTTCTATTTATTATTTTACATTTTATTAAACAATGACAAAATTCATGTTAACAAAACAATTTCACCGTGATTGCAATTCCACATAAAAACATACAACTTTATAAAAGTTATGGTTTGCAATGCTCAATACTAATTACAATATTAATGTAATATGAATATTGATTTTAATGTAGCACATAATGTAACAAATATTTAAAAAATGGATTATGAAGTCAATAATTCCCTTTGACTGACGTGTTCAAAGTCGATGCAAGAGTAAGACAAGAGATCTCCAAGTTTAACATCTGTATTTAATTTATCTTTACAATCAGATACAGAAATTCCAACAAAGAGTGCTCCTAAAACTATATATGTCCCTCTCTCTGGCCCTCGGCTGATCCCTCTGTTTCTCCCCAAGCCAGTGTTGCCAACTCCTCAGTAAGGAAAGTAGCTATTAGCTGTCCCAAAAGTCGCTAGAAGTCGCTAAATGACGTCATCGCCTAATTTGCATAATTTGCCATTTGCAAATAACTGTAACGGACGCTGTAGGAGAGAGGAATAAGGTCGTGGGAGAGACAAAAGTGAGTAAAAACACCCTAAATATGTTTAGAACTACAAATGTACAAAAATAATTTCAACATTAACAACATTTAATGATTTTAATGCTTTGTCTAGATCCACATTACACACATCAGTTTTGTCCTGTATTGTTAAATGTTATAACAGCAAATGTAATCAAAAGATTGTTATGTAGGGTGAAATTGCTAGCTCTACAACCAACCCTCCTCCTTTATCCGGGCTTGGGACCGGCAAAGTGACCCAAAAGACACACTCTGGCAGAGTTACTTAGGTTTATTTTTGTAAGTTTTTTTTTTTTTCATAGTTTGGCATAACAAATGATTTAATGTGACCCACTACTGAGAGAAAACAGAGTCACGGACAGAGCTGCCGCGGATGGAGTGGGGGGTAGTGGGGGGTAGCGGTGGTAGGAGTGGCCGGGGAGCTTTGGATGTGTGGTGGTGGTGGAGCTGAAGTTCAGTCTGCAGCAGCCTGAAAACTTCCTGTGCTTTTGAGTCTCCTCTCTCTCTCTCTGCTCCGCCCATAGACTGTAGCTGGGACTGCTGCGCAAGGCTACTGTGAGACTGGCCGCCTGTAAGTGCTTTGGGACGGGGGAGGGGCTCACGTTGAGGACAGCAGAACAATACGTGCTTCACGAGTCTCCAAAACACCAGATAAGTCGCCAAAACACCAGATAAGTCGCCAATAACACCAGAAAAAGTTGCTAGATTTGTCGCTAGTCGCTTTTTTGAAAAAAAGTCGCTATAGGGGTCTGAAAAGTCGCTAAATCTAGCGACAAAGTCGCTAAGTTGGCAACACTGCCCCAAGCCAGAGCATATAAAAAGAACAGGAAGGAGGGGCGTGTCCTATCAGGCAGCTTCCGGTTCAGGGTCCGCCTTCCACCATCTGCTCTTCTCGTCCCTGGGGGCTGCGGAAAAGGGGATTCACACATTCCAACCTATAGCTTCTTCCTTATAAGGAAGAAGCCCTTCTCCAAACAACTCTTATCTGGCTGGGGGAGGTCTGGTCCTTCTCTGAATTCCACGAGATCCAGGCTTAATATTGCACAAAGACATGGTATGCAAACACCTACTGAAAATCATTAGTATACAACATTTTAATTCTACAACAATCCCTCTCTTGACCTATATTAAACAATTAGGTCACAATCTTTCAATAACCCTTCTGGGTGACGGGACTGGGGAGCTCTTCCATCATCGCCTTGGTTCTTGGTTCTGGCTCGTTATCTGTGAAGAATTATTACAGGGAAAACAAACAACACACAACCACATTCGAAACATTCCTTCACAAAACTCTTTGATGACCACTGCTGTGTCATTCTGATTCTTCTTCAACCTCGTCTGTAATGTATGCACTAAAACTATTCACTATAGTTTAAACTATTCTAATCTATTTACAAATATGTTTGCATATTTTGCTTTTATTGAGCCCTATTCTTAAACATATGTTTTTATCTAATAAATCTATCTATACTCTGGTTTGCTTTCATTATCAGTGGCTTTGGGCCATTTCGTGGGGCTTTGCTCATTTTTCCAAATACATTTTGTTGAACCAGGAAGTGCTGTCACTTCCTCCTCTCAAGACAGTTTGGGATGACTGTACATCGTTAATCAAATTGGTATTATCCTTACAAGAGCTAATCTATTTTAGCAGGTTTCTCTGGGGTCAGTCCCTTTACAACGGTATTTTGATTCTCTAATCTGTTGCTGACAAATCGACAGCTCTTAAAATTCTCAAAAAATACCTAAATATCTACTTTTGTGCTATACCCAAATACATTAAAATGCTTTTAAATGTTTTTGAATCTCTGTTGTTTCTAATCTATCTCATTAATCTATCTCATTAACTTTTGGCATTGTTAACATTCACCTATGTTTGAAACAGGCGAATTTGACAGTATCTAATAAACCTGTGCATAAACTGTAATGAACTTCATCTACCTTTGAAGTAAATACTTTTGGACATAATATGAAGGAAATGGTCCTTTTACCGCTTGATATTAGCCCTGTCTAAAAATAATCTCTATTTTTGAAAGCATCTATCTATTTTATACTCTATTGTGACTCCAAATCTTGGTTGTAGTTTGAGCCAAAGCATATTCCCAATTTGTGAGTTCTGATTGTAACAATTGCATTGGCAATAGACAATTTTTCATTGGCCGGTTCTTGTTCTGCAAATCACTATTTTATGTATTGTATCTCAGACAATTCCAAAAACAACGTTCGTCGTTCTCCAATATTAAAGACATGAATCTATTCAATTTGCCTGAAAGGGAGCGGGAGGAAGAGAACTATTTTAAAACCGTTCTCTACGATTATATGGCTATGAAATTAATTATTTAATAAACAAAAGCACATTCATGGCTTCTGTCCGCTGCTTATAGCTGTTTAAAGAGTTGTCCCAAACTTAATATGTGTAAATACATCAGTTGTTAGTAATAAACAATAACATTTAACCTGTTCTCCAATGGAGCAGCTTAGAGGCTGCGTCAAAAGCAATGTTATATTTGAGCTATTTTTAGATTTAAAATTGTGTTAAAGCCTGTCGTTCTATGTCTGCATTTTAATACTACTCTCTATAAACACATCTGCACTAGTTCCTACAGATGTGGAAAACAGAAACATCTAAAATCTGACTCCATTTGATTCCTTTTTACTCTAATTATTAGAACAATTTGACCTTATTGATACTTATTTTCACAATAGAACTATTTTGATTATTCACTCCTGTGGACTCACCACCTGCAGGAGGATCAGTGAGGGGCTGGTGCTCTGTGTACTGGGTGCAGCTCTGACTCCCCCCCCCCCCCCCCCCCCCTGACCCAGAAATGGGATTAAGTGGAAGAAAATGGATGGATGGATGGATGATTATTCACTAGTCTAACTATTATTACTATTGTTTATTCTGACACCTCTTCTTAGCGACCCTTCAACCTATAGCTCCTTGAATCCAATGACATTATAGCTCCAGACTATTTCATTCTATTCTATTATTATTATTATATGATCTATTATCTTAAAGAGTAGATCTGCTTGATGTTATAAGCGCTATTATTTCTCCTTTTGAATTTGCACAACACTAAATTTAGAATGACCCCCTATGGGACAAATATAGAATTTTATTTCATTTTGGCAACTCCAAAAATTACTTAATAATTTTCCCATTTTGCTTTTTTAGGCTGCCCTTTCTATTATTTATTTGTTCTTGTAAATATATGTTTTACACTTCTTTCTAATGATTTAGAAGGTTAAGGACCATGACCACCTATGACAATAACATTACCATACTCCCCCTATTGGTCATGGGCCAAGTATAAAACATGCATCTGTGTGTGTGTGTAGATTTACTGTTCCGTTCATCTCCAGTTGCTTTCTCCCGGATCGTCCTCAATTCATATTGTGGGCTTTGGCGCCAAAGTAGAGGCTCATTTCCTTATGATCCATACTACTGTCATCCCTGAAGCAGGTGCAGTTTATCTTTCATCTGAAAAAGAAACATTAGAACACAAAAAATGCCCACTTTCCCTGGCATGGTGCAGCCTGTCAATCTTTTTCCAATTGGGCAAAACATAACTGCATTGACAGACGGTGTGTGACATCAGGGCAGAGGCTGTAGCCAAATACAGACTTAACAATATGTATGTTTCTAATTTTACACTCCCCTAAATGTGAGTTACAAACCAAAGTTGTCCTCCGCCCAATGACCGTTCACTGCGGTTGGACCGAATCATTGTCAGGACAAACAGCAGAAGGGGGGGACTCCCAATACCTTCAGCAAGGTATTCATCTCAGAGTACTTTCCGCAGAGTACTTTTCTCAGAGTACTCATCCCAGAGTACTCTCACTTCTACACCTGTTCAATAAAGCTTGTTATCTTTGAATCTCTAGTACTTACACCGAGTGCTGTTGACAAAAAATAATTATTCCATGATCACATTAAAACATTACAGAAAACATTTGTTATTCCATGATTCCGTTCAGCACTCCTCGTTCACTCCACACTCACAACACACTCACAACACAGGCCGACTCCCCACGTTAGTATATTGGTCCAGAGTTTGTTAAGGTCAACGTAGTGTACTTGACATGACGCACAAACATATAACATACACAAACATATAACACACACAAACATATAACACACACAAACATATAGACAACAC